CTGGCGCCATCGTCCTTCAGGAGTGCTTAAGCACACAGACTCTGTCCAACGAAGCAACCCTATTATAAGGACCCCATAGGAGTGGAGGCCCTAACCATTAGTGAGATGAAACAATCTCCAAGGTCTAACTACAAAAACAAGATGTAGTTGTTACCACTTGTGTAAAACGGGAATGTGTAGATATGCCTACGTTTATCGCTTGGTGATGAATAAAATATGTCTGGAAGGAGATACTCCTAAACTAGATGCCAGTAACCTAGTAACAGGGGTTATATGGGGACGGGGGAAGAGTTGGGAGACGGATTTCTCCCCATCTACTTTGTTGTACTACTTAATTACTGTTCTTTTAAACCACATGTGTGCATTGTCTATTACTAAATGTAAATATTAAACAATATTTAACAAGAAAAGCCCTCTAGTATAATAAAGAACAGACCTGAAGGACAGGAAATCAAAGAGGAGGTGTTTGCACATTTTCCAGCAAAACATTCTTAGGGCTCAGGCTGACCCAGTGGCCCGGGGGACGGAGAGAGGAGAGACTCAGAACTATGTAGGAAAAATACTTATGCTTCATTCTTCCATTAAAGACAATGATTTAGCACTAATGTTTGCCGGGCACTCTATGCCAATCACTTTCCTCAGAATAATCCAGACAGATGAGCTGGTAACAGCCCTAGACAGCAGGGAGGGGCTGGGCTCAGAGAGTTTGTGTCGTAGGCTTTGCCCCCCTGACTTTAAAACCTGTGCTCTTCCAGGATGCATGGCTGCTTCTCCATTAACTAAGACTGGGAGAGGTAAAGGTCAACTTAAAGAAAAAATACGAAATACATGACAGAGGGCTCAATGATAGGTGAAACCGTGGGTGTTGAACCTGAATGTCATTCTAGAAAGATACATAGCGAGACCGGGGTGGAGCCAGGACCAGAATCCAGGTTCCTTGGCTCCCATCCTCAGACTCTCTCTACCACCCGCATCCCTGAGGGTGGGCATCCGGAAGGAGACACCATTGCAAAATGCGCGTATTGGCCCACAGGTGATTTTATTCCTCTGAGCACAGCACACAACCAAATCAAGGCTAGAACAAATAAAATGCAGAGCCATTCCTGATTCCAATTAGGGTCTGTTGCCACCAGCTGAAGAAGTCACAGGGCCCTTCCCGCAGTGCTGTGCTTGGACGGCAGGCCCACAGTCCCGCCTGGAAGAGCTTGGAGAACGGCTGCTGTCACAGAGTGGTGGGGGGGAGACACACTGCTCATCAGTGACTAACACAGATGCCTTTCATGGTCTAGAGAGAAGCTGAATAGCTGAACACGTTTTTAGATGAATAATGAACACAGAGTGGAAGCTTTTGGTTGTTTGATAGTTGTTTTGGTTTGGTTTTGCCTCTTCTGGAAGGACTGGTTCACACTCTCAACCTCTGCCCTTTTTTTCTCTCAGGCCAAGGGGCATTTTGTGACACAAAGGGAAGTTCAGGGAGAAAGAGGTGAAGTGGTGTACGTGTATGTGCACTTGCGTGTGTGTATGTACATGCATACATGTGAGTGTGTGTACGTGTGTGGTGCATTTCACTTGTGCTAGCATGCTCTAGAGAGGAGGTCACCTCAAGGTGCTGAGGACTAGGAATGGCTTACTGAATGAATGAATGAATGAACAAAATGCCCAGTCCTGCAGACTTCTCTGCAATCTTCCTGGCCTCAGATGGAGACAAGCCTTTCCCTAAAGCAGGCGATGGATGATGACCTTTAGCATTTATCTCTATCGTCAGAACACCCAATAGTAACCCCTGGTCAGACCATCACCCCTCCCTTATGGAACAGTAAAAAGAAACAAGTAGGACTTACAGGATAATCCTTTCTCTGCATCATTTGTTCCTCCGTTACAACAGCCATGACCCTGGGCTGGGGGATACAGGGCACCATATAAACTTGCATAACCAGACAATTAGAAAGTGATCAAAAGAGATTCCCAGCAACGAAGCATGAGATTTGGGGTGCCCCCAGCTGGATGGCCAGGGTAAACTGTTTGCAAAGAGGGCCACAATCATTCCTGGCATCACTGCGGGCCCAGTCCTTCATGTCGTGATTCTGCGGCAACTGCCACTGAGAGGGGCCGAGAGGGGAGCTCTCTTTTCCATCTCATGACTCAGGGCCTGGCTGTGTGACTTGCCAAGGGGATGTCAGCAAGTGTGACACAAGCAGAAGCTTGAAAAGTACTTGCATATGGGGACTTGCCCACTCTGGGCTCCTTTTCTTTTTTAATTGGCCAGAACATTACAGCCACATGAGTAGTCCCCGTGGTGATCCACAGAATCAGGAGCACATAAAATATGCTTATATTAAGCCACCGAGTATTGAGGCAGTTTGTTACACAGCAATGGATAAAAGGCCCTAAGCAAGTTTGCTTCTCTATGCCTTTATTTTTTAAATCCATAACAAGGTAAGAGCATTAATTAAATAATATATATAAAGTACCTAATATGGTGTGAGACGCTTTTTTTTTTAGTTGGGGTCTCACTCTGTCACCCAGGCTGGAGGACAGTGGCACATTCATGACCACTGCAGCCTCAACCTCCTGGACTCAGGTGATCCTTCCACCTCAGCCTCCTGGGTTGCTGGGGTTACAGGCACACGTCACCATACTCGACCGATATTTTTATTTTTTTTAGAGGTAAGCTCTTGCTATGTTGCCCAGGCTGGTCTCAACCTCCTGGACTCAAGCAATCCTCCCACCTTGGCCCCCCAAAGTGCTGGAGTTGCAGGAGTGAGCCACCGTGCCTGGCCTAGCGTGAAATATATTCTAAACTCACTAGATACACTTACCAAATGTTTACAGTTATTTAGATCATCCCTGTTTTGACAACAAAGAGAAGGAAGGCCAAAGAGGTTAACTGACTTAGCCAAACTGGTAAGTGGTGCAGCAGGAATTCAAAACCAGATGTGTCTGTGATCAGTTGTGCTGCTGCGATCCTACGTTGCCTTCCCTGCTGAGAATTCCCTTTCTCTCCCTTTCGTTCCTTCTGCTTCTTGAATTCCTCCAGCCCAAAGGCACCAAGCTCAAAGCGCACCCTGGAACACTGTAGCCCACTTTTCTGCATCGCCTTACTTCTTTTCCTCCTTCCCTCCCTCCTCCTTTCAGCCAATCAATCACTCACGCATGCACACTCTCCCTCAACAAATCGGCATCCATCCCCTGCTATGTGCTGGCTCTACTGTGAGCTCTGGGCACACTGTGGAAAGCAAGGTCCAGCCCCACAGAGCTCACAGGGGAGGTGCCTCTCCTGTAAGCCCTTGTGTGCAGCACAAACGAGGTTCTGTCTTGTGTCGTATCATCGGTTCACATGCTACTCCTATCTCTCTCTCCAGATTCCAAACTCCTGGGGAGCAGAAAGTATCTAGACTATGGAATGCCCTCTGCAGAATTCTGAGTAGGACAATCCCAGCGGGTTACCAGTCTTGCACATTTATCACCCACCTATATTTATTTATTCCACACTTATCAAGGAGGTGCAAATAGTAATAATAATAGCAATATTAAGAACTTATAATACATTATGCCCTTTTGTTCTTAACATACTTTGCATATATGATCTTTGATCCTCACAAAAGTGTGCAATAGCAGGTATTATCATTTCTACTTAACACCTGCCTGAATTTGAACCCAGATCTTCGGCTTCAGAGTCTGTGCTTTAAACCAGTGGGCTATTCTGCCCCCTAGTGACCAGTGGATGCAGAGCAATATGTATTCTGAAGCAACAATTCTTCCTTTACCCGAGGAATGGGAATGACCTAACCAAAAACTGTCCAGGGATCAAGTTTTGCTCCTTAATCTGGAATCATAAAATGAAGCTTCAACTTCTGTCTAGGAACTCTCATCTTCATTTTAATGACTGGAAGACTGAAACCAAGAAAAACAAAGCCTTGCCCAAGTTCTACCGTTGGTTAGGGTCTGAGGCAGGTCTAGACCTTCCAGCAAGGCTCTTGGCCCCCGAGGAATCTTCCACCTGCTGACCACACAGGATGTAAACAGAAAAAGATAATACTACAAAAATCCTACCAAAGAGAAGGGGCTCCTCATAGCCTGCTGTCATTTCCTCTCATACCAGGGATTTTCGAGTATCATTTTAGCAACAGAATTCCACCCCGCCCCCACCCACACACTGTTAATGAGAAGCTTTATAAGGAACCACTATATGCTTAAAACATAACAGTGCTGCTCTGCTCTGATTGTTGTAGGCACTCTACCTGCTGGGTGTACCCTGCCCTGTTCCCCAGGCCTCTGTGGGGCTCTCGCCGTTCCTCTCCAAGGACGCCACAGGCTCCTCAAGGAACAGTCTGTGAGTTCCTGCACAGAACTTCCACAACTGCCGTTATGTTGCGTTCATACCCCATTGGCTTGCCTTCTTGGCTTCTAACACTCGCCTCAAGTGCAATTAGATTTTGACTCTCAGCAGGCAGAAAATTCAGCTCTGGCTAAACTGTGACGTCCTGAAGTTGTGCCTTAGAGACAGCAAGCCATGCTCATTCATCACCTCACGGGAGCCTAAGAACTGTGCTCCATTTTGCAGATGAGGATCCTGAGACCCAGACAAGCTGCATGCCTGCCTGTGGTCCCACAGTCAGTAAGGAGTGGCCTCCACTGCAGTCTGTGCTCCCTGACTCTGAAACCTACATTTCTACTCTCAGAAGCCTTCTTATCCATACTCCCCCGGCCCCGACTTTGTGTCCTTGGCGTTCACGGGGAACACATCCCACCGCAGCGGGCCATTCGAATTCTCGTGACCTTTTACAAACTAGACATGCTGAGGCTTTCACTTAGATGGAAAGAATCAGAAGCTGGGACTGTGAGTCGCTGCATCCCGGAAGGAAGGCCCACTGCCATCCAGCAAAAGCACAGAAAAAAGGCCCAGGGTCATGCCGGACCTCTGTGTCACCTCCCTCCAGCTCTGGGGCTAAAGACAGGAGACCCGATCCCGGACAGCCACGAGTCTGGGCAGGACTTACTGTGTAAAGCTCATTGGTCACCTTCAGGAGCTCCTCGTGCATCTGCAGGCCGATCTCCTTGCTCTGGAATACGAAGAAGAAACGTCAGGGGGAGAAGCTTGATGGCTGCATTTACCAGTTCCTTTTCAACACAGGAAGTTCAGGTGGTGGGGTGGGAAGGGGTACAGAAATCAACATAAACCTCACTGATCTAGACCTGAATTTCTCACCTTCTGCCATGAAGCAAATCCACAGAGAGAGGTTCCTTGCCAACAGGATTCCCTGGTCATATGAATGGGGAACCCTACACATGTGACTCTCAGTGACACGAGCATATTAAAGATCTGGGGAAGCCCCACAGACCCCTCCTTTAATTCTGTGTGTCCTAGGCTGGCATGGCCAGAGTGTGTGATCCTTGCTTAGTCCTCATGAACAACTCAAAGAGTGGAGATCCACAGAACACAGTTTGAGAAACAATGACCCAGCCTTCCAATTCCTCGAGAAAGTAACCACTAATTCTCGGGTCCTCCAGGAAATGCCTCCCACCAGCAAGTCAATGTCCACCTGCTTCCTGAAGACTTTTCTTCCTCCACCAGGAATCAGCAGTTGGCACCCACTTGGACTTCAACCTCCTGGCTTTCAGGGCCTGCTCACCGCAGATGCCTTAATCTTCATTTCAGTTCAGCCCCCTCCCACTGTGCCGGTCCCCTGACTTGCCTATCCTCGCCCTGTCACTACCTGGATCCTGACATGGTGGCAGGTTCACACTGTCAAGGGAACAGGAACATCCAGGTTAGCAGAAAGTCCACGGGAATACCAGGCAAGAGAGCTAGGTTCTCATTTCTGCTGTGTAATCGACTAGCCGTGTGGCCTCGGCAAGGTACTTTCCTCTCTGAGCCTTAGTTACCTCATTATCAAATAAAAAGCTTAAATTGAAACAACACTTTCCAAAGCATGGTCCAGAGGTAACTGTTAAGTGCTATACTAAAAAAGGGGGCAGGGGCTTCTGTGACCACAGGCATTTGGGAAAAGCTGGTTGAACAAAGGTTGACAAGCTTGCTAACTGCAGGACTTTTCAGTGTCTTTAATATCCTTATGTATGTGGAGACTTTCTAAGGGAGTGCTGTAGTATGTATTTTTGTTACCATAATCCTTTTTGTATGAGGTGACTTACATAATATTGAAGGACATGATTCAGAAAACCATGAGAAAATTATCTCCAGTTTCCACACAGCCTGAAGAGCCTCGAATTCTTTGTTTTTTATTTATGATTATGATTTTGGTAAATACTCTCTGCTAAGGTCTGAATGTTTGTATCCCCCCAAAAATCCATATGTTAAAATCTTAATCCCCAAGGTCTTTGGAAGTGATTAGGTCATAAGGGTGAAGCCCTCATGAATGGGATTAGTATCCTCATAAAAGAAGCCTCAGAGAGCTCCTTCACCCCTTCCGCCATGCAAGGACAAAGCAAACAGGTACACTCTATGAACCAGGAAGTGGGCTTTCACCCCATAAAATATCTGCCAGCACCTTGATCTTGGACTTCTCAGCCTCCAGAACGGTGAGAAATACATTTCTGTTGTTTTTAAGTCACGCAGTCTATATTTTGTTACAGCGTCCTAAAAGGACTAAGACATTCTCCCTGTTTGCCCTGACCACTGTGTTAGGTTTCCATATTGAAAATGGGAACCCTGATCTCTGCTCCTTGGACAGCTGAGACCTTCTGTTCTCCCTTTCAGCTTCCTCAGACAGCAGCTAAAAGGCAGAGACCAACCTTCCTCCCATCCCCACACAAGTCAGGAGACTCTGAACCCAGTGGTAGCTGAGGAAGGCTTAGGATCAGAATGATGCCTTCTCAGACTCCTTCTCCTAGCCCTGCAGCCCTTCCTGTAAGCTTCTGGGCCAGCATTGCAAGAATCCCCCCTCTGAAGGTAGGCTTGGCTTGCACTGGATCTCTTAAGAGATAGCAAAAAACATGGGGGCAATGCAGAGATCTGCTTAGACCTCCCTCCAACTTAGGTGGTAAAAGAGAGGAGACTCAATCCAAAACCACAACAGAGCCTGTGCAGAATTTTCGATGCAGAGCTCAATGGGGACTGTCAGCGGCGTCTTGTGAGTTCTGTAATGGTGCTCTATGAAGACAACTGCCTAGCCTCATCTCTTATTCTCCATGAGTCTCTCAGATGTGCAGTCAGTGTCTCAGTTTCCCCTGTGGTCTCTGCCTCATCACTACTGCCTCCAGATTCTCTGATACCCTCCAGTGGCCTCTTGTCAGTCCTCAGACTCCCCAACATCTCCGACACCCAAGACCCTGTTATGTGTTTATTTTTACGACCTAACTTTTTAAATGGATAATAAGTGTATATGGTTAAAGGAATTCTAACAGCCAGCAAGATAAAACAGAAAGAATAATTCTCCCAGGCTCCCAGAATCCCACCCAGAGGCAACCGCTATGAAAAATTTCTTCTGATACCTTCCCGAAATAGTCTATGGATATATTCGCATGTATTTGAACATCGTGTGTTCTCTCTTAACACAAGTGAAAGCATCCTATACACACCTTTGAATCCTTTTTCACTTAACTGTGTATCCAGGAGATTTTCCCATCACAGACCACGTAGCCTTTGCATCCCTCTTTTGCACAGCTACTTGAGATTCCGTGTGCCAGATGTATCATGACTAATTTAACCAGTTCCTTAGGGAGAGGCATTTATATTACCTCCAGTTTCTTATTATTTAAAATAAGGATGCAGTGAACATCCTTAGACCCTGTCACCATGCACATGGGCGGATACCCCATCCTCTAAGCAGCTCTTCCAGGAAGAGTCCTGTCTTCAGAATTCCCTCCGGTCTTGCAGCCTCAGCCCCTGCTCCAACTGGCTCCCCACACGCTCCTGTCTTCAGTTCCCACTTCTTGGTGACCAGAGGCCACACACCATGTCCACAGACCTCTCTCTCAGGCTCTGTCCTGCATGATCTTGAGCCCAAGCTCAAAGACAAGCATCTTTAGCTGTTGTAAAACTATGTAGTCTAGATGTCCCCTCATCGATCAAATTCAAATTACCCAAAGGTGAACTTCTGAACTTATCCTATCCACTTGATTTTGGTCAATGGAATCAAATCTTCCAGGGGTTTATCAACTGAAAACCTGGGAGTCATCTTTGACACTTTTTTATCCCTCCTCCTCAATCCAATCTGTCACTGTGTCCGGCCTTCAAGCTGCCCAATCCTTTGTTCTTCGTAGCAAGCGGCTGTTTCCTACCCCCCAATATTCATTCATGCCCTTCCTACTTCCTAAGAAAGTCATGAATTTGCCCCAGAATTCATTCTTCCAGGAGAGTTCTTCAAGAGAAAAGTTCTTCAAGGGAAGCCAACTCAAGATGACTGATTCTGGCATGTGTTATTAGCCCAGGAGTGAGTCTGTGACTTAGCTGGAAGGAAGAGAAGGATTTTTCTACTGAGTACTCGCAAAAAAAAGCACGTAGTCCCAGTTGCTACCAGCAGATATCTCAGGACTGTAAGCAGCTGTAAGATGGCAGAGAAAACCAAGCCTGGCTCCTGAGCAACCGATTGGACTGAAAACCCAGAGCCTGCCTCCCAGTGAACTTCCATACTTGTGGCTTTATAGATTAAGCTACTTTCAGCTAGGTTTTTCTGTTACTTGCAGCCAAAAGCAACCTAAGGGCTTCAGTCCCATTTTCTACCACCAGTTCCCAGCAAGCACATCCTCACCCAGATCACTGCAGCTACCGCTTAACAAAGAAACAAAGTCTTGTCTCTTTGAGCTTATAGTCCATCTGTATATCTGTGTCCATGGAATTTACAGAAATGTATTTTATCGTCTTCCCCCAACGCCTCCTTATCATCTCCAGGTTCAAGTCCCAGCTCTTTAGCTTGACTTTGGAGGCTCCATGTGATCTGACAGTGGAGAAGGCTAAATTTTGGAGCCACAGAGATGGGATGTGACTTGGAGGCAGGGCTTTCAGCCATTTAACCTCTTGGCATCTCAGTTTCCCTGTCTGTAAAATGAATACCTTGCTATGCCTCCTCTGCACTTATCAATGATCTTCCTTGTTTACTTGTTTATTCACTTACCATTTGTTTTCTCCACTTGAATGCCAGTCCCATGAGGGCAAAAAGACTCTCCCTCTGGTGGTGGATGCTCAGATCTCCCAGTTGCTGGGATGGCCTCAGCAAGAAGGTAACACTCCTTCTGGGTGTGGCCCTCGCCCAGGACTGATCACTGTGGGGCACAGAGACCTGCCTCTGCCTGTCTCAAGCCGGACAGCTCTGAAGGGTCATTCCATCTTTGGTACTTCCTGTCGGGCTGAAGGGTCATTCCATCTTTGGTACTTCCTGTCTAGTAAGGCTGCCTGCATTGAAGCTCGATTTCACCCTGGTTTCCCATGAGGCTACTTCCAAGAACACTCCCCTGTCAGTCTCCTGGATGCTAAATTCAGAGGTTTTGGAGTCTGGTGTTCAGGGTACCCAATCTGCCACATCGTGGGTCCCCATTCTCATATCCTTGCAATGCTACAGAGCCGGCCACACAGTGGGTGCTCATTAAATGTTTGTTGAATGAATCTATGAATGACTGAACCATCTGCTCCTCTAAGCCTCCGTTTCCATTTCTGTAAAAGTGGGATGATGTCATGGGTCTCATGGAGTTCCTGTGCATGAAGAGAGATAACATATATGGCAGCACTTGGCACCATATGGGGCACAGATGAAGTCCCTGGGAAATAGGAGTACAAGCTGAATCAATACCCACAAGATGACAAGGACAAGGCTAGGAAGTCACCCAGAGAAGGGGATATAAAGTGAAATCTTGTTTTAACTCTTCCTTAAGGAATCTCCCAGGTCGGGCAGGTAGAGGGACGAGAACACAAATCATTCTAGGGCAGGAGGTGGAATGGGCTGTAAAAGAGTGAAGGATGCCGGGATGAGGGGTGAAGTGAAAAAGTGGAGGGAGGGCGCGCCCCAGAGCCATCTCAGCTTACAGGAATGGCCAGATGGACTTTTAGGTGGAAGCACAGCCGGGGCACGGGCACAGAGACCAGGAATAGTGAAAAGACTGGCTTGCA